TCAAGATGACCCGATAAAAAAAACATGTCAACTCGCAAACAAACCCAAATCAGACACAAGCTCTTAAAGATTGATCAAAACATTAACACGTTCAGTTGAGTTATGTTCATGTTAAGAAATATCTCGTCAATATTAATTTTTATATTCACATGTAGCAAATAATCGGTCAAAACATTAACTTACGATAACGATATTTAAATTTTATATACCTTTCTAAACTTTTAACCCGTTAAGTCATAGCATTGAATTCCTAAACACTCTTGAATTTTCTGTTGAGCCTTCTCATCCTAACGAAAATAGAATATCCATTTATGGAGCAAACTGCAAGTATATTTGTTGTCCTATATCTTGGTCGATCACTGGCACTAATATTTACCATTATGTACGTATCGCCAAAGCACTTAGACAATTTTGTTTCCGGATAAGACAATGAACTTAGATTAGTTGAGTTATTCTAAATTCTTTTCGTCAACCTAACCACACGTGCACTTCATATATATCTAGAACCATTTCGATTCTGGTATTCTTTCAATTCTTCAAAAGTTCATTAAAAAAAAGAATCCACATTCTATGTCACAAACCCAATTTTTTAAAGGGTTTTTGGAGCACGAGCCGCCGCTAAAAAGCCTAAAAAGAAAAAATAAGGATGATAAACTATATGAGTTTGAATATATTGGGTCTAATAACAAAACAACTTAAAACAAATAAAATCAGTCGAAAATACGGTGTAGCTCTATGTGCCACTTACTCCAGATTCACTTCCATCCTCGACCAGCTCCTTGTCACTGAAAATATATGAGAGAAATGAAATGAGTGCAAGACTCAATAAGTAGTCTACTTTTAGGCTCCTAATCGTGTCCAAGTTGAATGCTAGGGTACCACACTCATTTCTTCACATGTTCTTGTTCTTCTTTTGAGAACCTAGGTTCTTAGGTTCTATTCTTGAGTTATGAATTTTTATCATGGTTTTGACCCAAGGACTTTGGTCTTGCATTCTAAGTTCTGAGTTCTTAGTTTTAATCATTTGGATCTTGATTCTCGCTCGGGTTTCTTGCCTTTGGTTTTTGGTTGGATCGTGGGAGGCCAAGTGCAAGACCACAATTAAAGTTGAGATACTTACTACTAGTAAGTTTAAGGTACCCAAGAAAGGATTAAGAAACACAAAGATGGTTCAAGGGGCCAAAGAAAAATATTTTCAATGTCTTAACAAGGTTTCGTAAGAAATTCAAAGGTTCGGAAAAAAAAAATGATAATAAGCATAAAAGGGCAAAAATGTCATTTTCCAATTTTAAAGAAATTTCATTGAATTTTAATTTTTTTTTTACTAAGAATAAATTTGAAGATACTAAAAAAAAAGTAAAAAAAAAAAAAAAAAA